AAAAACCACAATGGTTTTCATAATCAGAATTGTCATTCATGTGGTCAGAAACTGAAAAGTCCAGCCATCAGCCATGACCGATATCAAATTGTGCTGTTGTCTAACAGGATCGTTATTGAAACAAATTAGACCAGGNCTTGTGCTGTTGTCTAACATCGTTATTGAAACAAATTAGACCAGGTTCGTTAAAGAAGAGCTAAGACGACAGCGACCTTACTTTTTAATATATAAACTACACGAAGATAAGTAGAAGTTACGAGCTGAATAATGATGATGAATGGAACCTTGCATGGACAAAGTCCAATAAGTGATGACTTCTCTATGTAAACAGGAGGAACCAATGAGGACGAGAGCCAATCAGAGCTTGCTTTGTTTCGTATGAAAACGGAGAGCCAATCATTTGTCTGGTAGTGGACTCAACAGCAGACAGAATGAATCCAGGAGGTATTTTTGTTGTACTGGTTTTCAGTGTAACCCACACATGACAGTTTACTGGCATCGTTAGATTTTATTCTTCAGAAAACCATGACCTTTGCTTGTGGTTTTCCTCCCAGCTTGTCCAGTAGATGTTGTGATATTGGAGCCTGAAACCAGGTCAGACCAAAACAAACATTGTTATCCATTGAGTCACAGCTCAGACCCATATGCCAAAACAAAAGTAATTTGTTATTCAACTTCAATATCTCCTGGTTTTCATGTTTTTTTCTTACATGGAACTAAATCTCTTTGGGTTTTGGAGAAAAAATGTCCACCCATGTCAGATACAGTATGAAAAACATTGAATTTCAGCAATGAATTTCCTTTGGTCTGAATGAATAAATTCTAGGAGGACAAAGTTTGTGAGTGCAGAGCAGAGAACTTTGAGTAAAGCTGATTAATGACCTTCTCCTCCTGGTCAAATATCACGGACCAGTGATTCATCACAACGGCAACAATGGGGAGCGAGACAAGCATCCGAAGGAGCCGCGCTGCTACAGGAAGAAATAACTCACTTATCTGGTGCTGAGATCACTGTGAGCGTGATGGGGCAGAGAAAAATACGGCGCAGGACAAACAAACATTAGGACCAAACCTCGTTACCCCTAAATGGCGCTTTATCAAGGTGGACGACACACCCCGGCAGCTCATAAACAGTTATCACAGCACTTCCTTGAGTTGTATGGGAGTTTATTAATCCCTTTGTTAAACTGTGTGTCCCCCGCCTGCCTTTTTATGGCACCAATGAGCAGATTGGATCTAAAGGTATGACACGAAAGAAAGAAAGAAAGAAGGAAATGCCCATACAAGGAGACTCCCGCACGAAGGCAGGAAGTGAAAAATGAAAGACCGTCTGGTGGGAGTAGATAAGACACCCGGTTGAGATCTTTGAACCCTGAACTCAACCAGTCTCTGTCAACGACGTGACCTCAGAGCCAGCGTCGGAGGGGGAAGCACGGCGGAAAAGGCAGAACACTGAAACAGACGCACCTTTCAGAGCTGCCGAAGAAAGAGAAAAATGAAGAGGAACAGAGTGGGATGAGAAACGGCTCTTTAAGAGGGACATGCTAAAGGGGCCTAACAAGGCCCCAATGTTAGGAGGCTCATTGTGTGGCCCCCGAGGGCTCCAGGAATGTCTCAATGTTCGGTTTTAAGCCCCGACAGGCCTCAAAGTAATGTGGGGGGAGCACAGAGTGAGGGGGAGTGACTGCTTGTATCTCCCTGGAGGGTCACCCAGGGACAAGGCCACAGCATCAAACCAAACAGCCGGAGAGGAAGTTAGCTCCAAACCCCAGTCCCTGTGCCTTTTTATACACCAGAGCCCCTCACCACATGAAGAGAAAAGACGTGGTCGCCAGTCGGGATTTTCACTGGGGGTGGAGGGTTAGGCATGTGCAAAACCAAGGACGCGTTTTGCAGACGGAGACGGAGACACGTGCATACCTGCAGTACATGCATACGTGCAGTGCATGCACGACTTTATTCGCAAAGAAAATGTGAACCTCTGTCTCTAAGGGAGGAGGATGAAGTATTTGAGAGGGGATTATAGGCCCAGGAAGCCTGCATCCATCTCCATAATCATTTCCAAAGCCAGGGTCTGTGTGTGTGTGCGTGTGTGTGTGTTGACATTCACATTTGTATTGTATAATAGTAAACAAGAAAATGGTACGTTCCACTGCTCCTGGCATGATTCCGTGCTCACCGGCTGTCATCAGTACTCCTGCTAGTAAACAAGTTGGGTGCTTTGCAGGGCAAAAGGTCAGGGATTGGATTTCACATCAACAGAGCTTTCTTCCCTCTATAAATACCAGAACCCAATATCATCTGTGTCTGTAGTACAGGCTGCTTTGGCTGCTGCTAAAATTATTCTGGTTGTAAATGAATAATGTGTATCAAAGAAAATAATGTCTTTGGTTGGAGGATCCAGCTAGAAATGAAGACATTGAGACCATTGTTTTAAATGACTGTAATGTTATGCTAAGATCAGCAGTGAGTGACTTTAAGATGCGTTGTTGTACATATAAGGGTTAGCGCTTGGGTAATATTTCAAGAGAAGCTACTGCACAATACGTAGTCAGCAGAGTGATGAAAACTTGGTTAAATCAAGAAATGTTTTTGTACCATGTTGTTATTAAATGAGTAATAACTAAGAAGAACAAACTACAACTAATTTTTTGGACTATTACATCCATTGACAACAGATAGCCGTAGAGACTAATGTCAGACGTCAGTGGAAAACAACCAGTTCTTGTCTGGAATCCTACAAACACATAGACTGCTGTAGCTCGCAGTGAAAATGTTTCTATTTTGGCGACGAGAACAACCGTGTACGATCGCAGCACTTTGATAACCGCAGATTGGAGGGAAACTCAAACGTCCAAGAACCCAATTTAATCCTTCCAATAACATGATTACAGCTCAAAACCGGCTCCGTTCCCGCAGAAGCACATTTAATTTTCCATCTTATCACCGAAGTCTTTATAACACATTCCTCAGCCGAGGCTTACAGTGGAAAAGAGAGGTGTTGGTTGACAGATCTGCTGTGCATGTGTATGAGAGTGTGCGTATGTGTGTGTGAGTGTGTGTGTGTGTAATTGCTCGGGTTGATTGGCAGGTCTCTTCTCAAAGCCCTTTGGCACTGGCTGACTTTATCAAACTCACTTCTGTGCACTGGACCAAATAAAGTCCTCGTAAGCCCTCGGCGCCTCCTGCCTGTTTACCTTCTAAAATGCACACCTTAGCTCATTTTCTGTGATGACTGCAGCTGATTTGCTCGCAAAAGAAGAAAAACACCCCGAGGGTGTAAAAATCTCATCCAGTATATAATTACTTTCCGTCTCCTGAAGCAAAGATCTGCTCTGAGAGACTGGAACTTAGTTAAACAGTCCAATAAGCAGGAAAATGTACCATCAAAATGGCATTGTATTCAATTTCACGAAAGATCACTTCGCTCTCGTTGAGTTGAAACTAATATTTTAATTACAAGGATTTGTTATTTTTTAAATAATGATCACTTTAAATTGTAGAATGCATGCCAACATGCGGTGAAGGAGTGAAGGCTACTGTCAGAGAACGCCATTTAATATCTTTGTTTAGCATCGATACGCTAAAGTGTTGATGTGTAGTAAAGAGGCCCTGTTTCTGGATTTTGTATTTCTACTTTTACTCTTTCTACGGCAGGTTGTTGAGAAAGTTCCAATGCCAAAATGATTACCAGTAACTAGGTGTAAATGTGTAGGAATGTTACGTTACGTACATTTATAGCACCCTCTACAAGTGAAGGAGTGAAGGCTAGGTTACGTACATTTATAGCACCCTCTACAGGGGAGGCTGCAGAGCTACATGTCATTTGTGTTTTAACAGTTTGATATTGCTGAATACTGTACCTTTAAAAGTGGAGATTACATCAGTAACACTCCAGCTGCTATTGGCTATTTCACATCCCCTTAAAACTATTATATACGGTATAATTTACAAGATCATTTTGAGGAAAATGTTTGGTTTCTTTTTCTATTGCTGTCTTGATTTTATAGTCTGACGTATATACGCTG